AGATTTGGACAGTGACCAAAACCCAACTTTCCTGGAAGGATGTCGTGTGTGTGTGTGTGTGTGTGTGTGTGTGTGTGTGTGTGTGTCTAGGCAGCTTCTTGCAGCAGTCCCTCTTTTGATTTGTGCCTGGCATTTCAGTATGTTCCTCTTCCAACCTGCTGATTAGATCCAGGCCCTGGGCTTGCTCAGAGACACGCTCCTGGCCTGAACTCCCCCTGTAGGAGCTTTGAGATCAGCTCAGCGCAGCTGGCCGCCAGCTTTGTCTGGGTGGGTCAACACCCACTTAAGGGCTTCACCCTCTCGTCCCACTCATTCTTTTGCGGGGTTTTCACACTGTTCTCTGTGTGTGGTCTCGGCGCTTTGCCCCTCAGTAGAGACAGTGGCCAGGCAGTTGCCTGCTACAGCTGCAAGGATGACTTCATTTGAGAGCTGTGTTCACTTTTGGATCAGTTTCTCCAGGCAAGGGCAACAAAAGCAAAAATAAACAGATGGGAAAATGTCAAACGAAAAATCTTCTGCACAGTAAAGGAAACCATTAACAAAACAAAAAGGCAACCTACAGAATGGGAGAAGATACTTACAAACTTGACAAGGGGTGGATATCCAAAATATATAAGAACTCTTACAATTCAATAATAAGAAGGCAGACGATCCTATTAAAAAATGGGCAGAGGGGCGCCTGGGTGGCTCAGTCGGTTAAGTATCCGACTCTTGATTTCAGCTCAGGTCATGATCTCAGGGTGGTGAGATCATGCCTGCATCTGGCTCTGCGCTCAGCACGGTGTCTGCTTGAGATTCTCTCTCTCCATCGCCCTCTGCCCCCAACCCCCCAACTCATACTCTCTCTCTCTCTCTCAAATAAATAAATAAAATCCTTTAAAAAATGGGCAGAGTACCTGAATAGGCATTTTTCCAAAGAAGACATCCAGATGGTCAACAGGCACAGCAAAAGATGCTCAACATCACTCATCATCAGGGAAATGCAAATCAAAACCACAATGAGCTATCACCTCATATGTCAGAATGGTTATTATCAAAAAGACAAGAAATAACAAATGTTGGCAGGGAGAAAAGGGAACCCAAGTGCACTGTTGGTGGGAATGTAAGTTAGTGCAGCCACCATGGAAAACTGTACGTTGGAGGTTCCTCAAAAAATTGAAAATAGAACTATCATATGACCCAGCAATTCTACTTCTGGGTATTTATCTGAAGAAAATGAAAACACTGATTTGAAAAGATAAATGCACCCCTATCTGTATTGCAGCATTATTTACAATAGCCAAGAAATAGAGCAAGCTAAGTTTTCATCGATAAATGAAAGGATAAAGAGGTGGTGTGTGTGTGTGTATGTATACACAATGGAATATTACTCAGCCATAAAAAAGAATGAAATCTTGCCATTCGCGACAACATGGATGGACTTGGAGGGTATTATGCAAAATAAGTCAGACAGAGAAAGACAAATACCATATGATTTCACTTTTATGTGGAGTCTAAAAAAACAAAACAAATGAAGAAACAGAACAAAACGGAAACAGACTCATAGATACAGAGAACGAACTGGTGGTGGCCCAAGGGGATGGAGGTGGGGGGGTGGGCCAAACAGGTGAAGGGGATTAAGAGCTACAAAGTTCCAGTTATAAATTAAGTAAGTAAGAGGGATGTCATTTACAGCATAGAGAATATAGTCAATAATATTGCAGTAACTTTAGGGCACCTGGCTGGCTTAGTCAATACAGATGCGACTCTTGATTTCAGGGTCGTGAGTTCAAGCCCCATGTTGGGTATAGAGATTACTTTAAAAAAATTTTTTTTAAATATTGTAATAATTTTGTATGAGGACAGATGGTAACTAGACCTATTGTGGTGAGCATTTTGTAGTGTATAAAAATATCGAATCACTATCTAGTATATCAATTATAAATCAATAAAAAATTAAAATGTTTAAAACTGAAAAAAAACAAAAAGAACTATAAAGCATGCCACAGAGATGCATGGCCTCCCATCCGCAAGGTGCTCAAGGGCTGAGGCCCACAGAAGGCTGTCAACTGCATAAGATTCAGATTTGTCCCTTGAATGCAGAACTCAGCCAGTCCCTTTTATTTCCAGGGAAAGCCTGGTTAGATCCCCAGAAGTACTGTGTATATTTCAAGAATTGAATTTGGGGTTGAGTTTTTCCCAGCAGCAAGATTTTGATAATCCTAGAATCTGAGTGATGGGTTTACGGAGATTTATTAAATGAATTACTTTTGCAAATGTTTAAAATTTTCATACTTAAACATTTTAGAAAGTCATTTTGGGTCCATTGGCACTTTGTCAAGCAAAAACCAACGGGGTGCTTTGGTAAGCCTAAGAACTGGGAGGGAGAGGCGGTTGGGTCAGTGTACTGCTGGGAGCTTATGAATGTACAGAGCAGAGCCCAGATGAAGCTTCGGACGGAAGCAGTTTGCTTTGTGACGAAAGTATTCTTTGTCCCTACACCAGGACATATCAAATGGGTTAAATATACTGAGTTTGATTTAGAGATTATTTTCCAATTTAATGCTTGTATCACACATATGTTCAAGGATTTGGAGGAATTCTTAAACCATAACTAAAAGATAGCAGTTTATTTACTAACTTTATCAAGTTATAGCTACTTGTTCCAGTATCATCCATAGTCACAAAGATGTTACAAGTGCAAAACCAACCTAGGTCTTTGACAACTTGACGTACCCGTAAGAAGCTATCTCTGGATTTATTATAAGAAAAATTAATGTAACATTTTTTAATTAATAATAAACCCCGTTGTTGAAGCCACTTTTAGTTGGTATGACATATAAAGAAACTATGTCTGCAATAGGATTCTTTGGGTTGGAAGAGACAGAAACCCAACTTGAATCCATTTCAATAAAAAAGATGGTTAATTGGAAGGATGCTGGGGAGGGGGGTGTGGCTTACACAAAGGACGGAGCAGCTGCAGGAATGAGAGCAGCTCCACGGAACTCAGAGTCCCCGCCCAGGGATTTGATGCCCCCAACATGCTTTCTTTGCATCCGTCTGGGTGACAGCTTCATTTTCTCAGGCTTTTTTATGTGATAAAGGACATGGTTACCAGGCTGCCCTGGAGTCTCATTTTACAATGATCTGAACATACTTCAACAGAAAAATCCCAAGGTAAATTTCTCATTGGCTCAGCTTGAATCACATACTCATCCTGGGCCAATCACTGTGGCCAGAGGGCTAGGGTAAGATTAGTCCATTCTGGGCTGTGTGCCCATCCCTGTGGTCAGGTGTGTTACCAGGAGGGAGAGAGGTGATGGGCAGAAAAAGATAATAGCCACCACAATGACCATAATCCTGGCAGTCAGGCAAGTGCACTCAGAAGACAAAGCAAAGCAGGAGCGGTGTTTTGTTTTGTTTTTAAGAGAGAGAGAGAGACAGAATGAGTGGGAGGGACAGAGGGAGAGGGAGAATCTCAAGCAGACACTGTGCTGAGCGCAGAGCCCGACGTGGGGCTCAATCTCATGACCTGAGCTGAAGGCAGACACTTAATCAACCTCTCCACCCAGGTGCCCCAGGAGTGGTTTTTACTGTAGCTAAGAGCCCGGGGTTCAAAGGCACGAGGACCTAGATTCAATCCTGGTGCCACCACCACTCCCCAGCTATGTGAACTCTGAGTTCTTAACTTCTCTGTACCTCATGTTATTTATCTTGTCAAAGACCAAACCGGGACAAGTAAGGAGACTGATTTTTATTCAGGTTACGGCAATAGGGAGAGCACCCCAGATCAGACATCATCATGTACATTACCTCAGGTCAAGTACAACACTGTTAATCTATAAAATGCTGAAAATAATATCCAGCTCATCGATGTGATGTGAATTAAATAATCTATGTAATCACTTAGCACAGTGCTGGGCACACACATGGTTGCCATATTCAGCCAGTAAAAATACAGGACAATATAATGTCCTGTATGTGGCATAAAATAAGGCAATATTTGGATTTGGAATATACTTATTATTAAAAACTTATCTGAAATTCAAATTTAAGTGTTCTATTTTGTCTGGCAACCTTTGGCACACAGTGAGGTGACAAACGTTAACTTATTATTGGGAACAGGGAGATTTATCTTCAATACATATCCCAAAGACAGGATTTCTCTTCCTGATAAACACAACTTTTGTTTGAAGATAATCTCAAGTCCCAGAAGAGAACTGGGAGGGCTGGGGGCCGGAGAGATGGTGGCCACAGACCATCTTAGGGCTTCTTCAAAGTAAAGCTCACCTGCTTTCTCCATACTCTCTTCCCTGACTCTGGCCTTGGTCACCTTTTTGGAAGCATGAAGTGGAAACACAGAGACTCCCACTACAGAGCCTCAGTGCCTGGAAGGAAGGTACTGTCTCTAGCCACCTCCCAACCTCCAGCTGAGTTGGGGACTGGCAGGTGCTCTTTCAGTGCTGTTTAATTTAAGCTCCAAAGCACCATGTACAAGGAGAGGGAGGATTTGTGGTCCTGTTTTATTTGAAAAGCCAAATTTCACGGGGAGGGGGGCGCGTTTCTCTAAAATTCCGGGAAACTGCTGCAGTGGGGTGGAAGTCTGAACTGGGCGACATTGTTGGTTCTAAGGTAGCTCTGGGTCGCTCCTGTAAAGCGAGAATAACAACGCCTACGTATTTTCCCACGAACACCACCCTATACTGTAATCTCTTGCCGCTTTTGTTTTCCCTGGGATAGAACGAGCTCCTTGGGGTTAGGTGTTGCGCCCGGCCGGCTCATCCCCAGAGCCGGGCACAGCGCCGGGCGCAATGTCTGTGGAATGAACGAGTGGGAAGTCGTGGAGAGGAAGACCGGGAAGGCTCCCCGGAGGATGCAACCCGCAGAACCCATTGCAAGGCAAACCTTGGCTCCATTTCCGCCGCCAGGAAGCCTCGCAGCTCCTGCTCCCAAAGAGCCCGCCTTTCCTCCCAGGATGCTCCGCGCCGGCGCGTCCCGTGATTGGCTGCGCCGCCCCCATGTGACGCTGGGCTGGCGGCGGCGGTTGCCGGGGCGACAGCTGGGTCAGTGGCGGCCGAGCCGGTTAAGGGAGGGTGCCCGCGGCCGTGCAGCAGGTAAGCGTGTCCTCCGACGCGGTCGGGCTGCCCCGGCACCCGCAGCCCGCGGGCGGGAAGGGGCTGTGGTGGGGCCCGAGGGCCCAAGATGTGTGGAGCCCTCGCCCCGGAGAAAAGCCAGCTTGGCAGCCGCTGCCGAACGCCCCCACTTCTGGTCTGCCGCCCTGGGCTGTTACTCTGGCGTGGGCCCGAGGCGGCCTCCTGGACAAACCGAGGACAGGCCCAGCTGCTTCCCGCAAGTAGTCCCTGATCTGGGCCTCAGTGGGCCAGACTTGGAGGGGGGCGCAAGTCGTCCAGCTGGGTAGTGACGGCGTGAGCGGGTAGCCTGGGGCTTTTAGATACAGCCCCTCCGTTATCTGCATCAGCTAACCTCCCCAGACTTAATCCAGTCTAAGCAAAACTAGGATCCTAGCCATGCAAATTCGTCTTCCAGACAAATCCCGTAGCCTTCCCTTTAGCCAGCTTGTAGGTCCTAAAGCCCTTTATATAGAAAATAAGAAGCCGCCACACGGCAACCCCCAAGAGTGGCTGAAGAAGTTTTCTCTAGTTTTTGCATAAAGTAGAGCAGTGGTTCTCAAACTTGAGTGTGCATAAAAGAGAGCTTGTTTAAAGCAGTTTCTGGGCATCGTGCCTGCCGCGGTGTTCAGTAGGATCAGGGTGGTTCTAGGAATTTCATTTGCACAAGCTGATTCTGATTGAGGTGGTCCCAGCATTTGGGGTAATGCTGTGTAGTGGTTAATGTCGGTCTGGATTTAAATTCTGACTTTTGTCATTTACTGGCTGGATTATTTGGAGCACCTCAGGCTTCTTGAGCCTCAGTTGCCTCATCTGTAAAAGAATGTAAATAATATTCATCTCTCAGGTGTATTGTGAAAATTAAATGTGAAGCATTTTGCACATTGCCTGGCATACAAAAATTCTTAATAAATGAACTTTTATGATACAAAGGTTTAGAGAAAATTCTAAGTATGTCAGAGTAATAGAATACCCAACAGTGGCTCACATTCACGGAGAGACCATCACAGTAGAATCTTACTCAAATGATGGTCTTGAAGAACTTCTCTGAGGAAGTGATGTTTATTAAGCGCAGAGGTTAGCCAGGTGAAGAAAGAGGAGGAAAATGTTGCAAGCAGAGAGAAGAGTATGTGCAAAGGCCCTGAGGTAGGAAGGAGCTTGAGTTCTCAAAAACAACAAAGTTTTCTTGTTCTAGGACCTTAAAAAAAAATGCTGTTCTCTCTGCTTGGACTTCATTTATTTGTAAATATCTTGGGTGTCTATCATGCCTAGCAGACTCTGTTAGGTTCTGGAGGGATCAAATTTATTTGTTTATTTTTATTTATTTGAGAAAGAGAGTGCGTGAGTGGTGGGGGGCTTGGGGAGAAGCAGAGGGAGAGGGAGAGACAGAATCTTAAGCAGGCTCCACACCCAGCGTGGAGCCAGACACGGGGCTCTATTTCACGACCTTGAGATCATGACCTGAGTTGAAATCAAGAGTTGGATGCTTAACCAACTGAGCCACCCAGGTGCCCCTGGAGGGATCACATTTAAATCCACCTCACTGCCTTTGTAAACAGGGTAATAAGTGTAGCAGTAGAAGTAAATGTAGAGTTCAGAGGTACCCCAGAGGAGGGAGAATAGCCTTGATAGGGAAGGAAGGGGAGGGGTTCCTGGGAGACCTCCTGAAGGAGGTCAATTCAGGGTTAAGTTAGCATGATGTGTCAAGTTTGTGATGGGGCGAGTATATCAAACAGAAGTTTTGGAGTTGTGAAAGAGCATGTGGTACTGGGGAATGCCCAGGGTTTACCACTGGTGGGCCTGATGTGGGGAAGGGGGACAGGGGCAGGGGTGGTGTGGGTCCAGAGAAGGGCTGCAGAGATGGTGGTCCCCAACAGTAGGCGGTCTTTCTCCTCCTTGTGTATCTGGCAGGACTGCAGGTGCCAGGAAGGGTAGGCGTCCTGTCCTCACTGCTACTTCTAGACCACTGCCTCCCTGCTTCAGAACCTGCACCTCTTTTGAAGTGCATGCTCTGGGCTTTACCACTCGCCACCCCTCCTTGAGGCTGTCACCTAGCAGGGGTGCAGTTGTTACCCCGTGAAGCCTGTAGCGCCTGGCTCCCTGTCTGCCCCTCCCCCTCCTCTACTTCAGTTCTGGAGATGTTACCATCCTGGCTGCTCGCTCCGGTTTCATCTTTTAGGCATCTCTTTTGTCCATTCTCTTTATCCACCACTCCCATGGTCATGAACGTTTTACTGCTGCATCATCTCTAAAATCAAGCACCCATTCTGCTCTGATCACACTTTTTCAAGCTCCCATCAATGTGCCTCAGAAGCAGATCTTAGGTGCCATGCCTCGTTAAGCAGGTGTTTGAGCCTGTTGCTTTTTCACTGCCCTAGAACCCCCCATGCACCTCCCTTCCTTCGGCCCCACTGCTCCATCACTGTTATACTTGTTTTCTCTTTCCCCTGTCTTCTGGAAAAACCTCACCTTGGCTAACCTAACTCAGACAGCTGGAAGTGGCCGGAGAAACTGCAGAATTATGCAGACTGGTTCCATTTTGGATTTGAATCCATGTATCTTAAGCAGACTCTCGATATTGGAAATCCTGCCCTGGTCCTTAGTCAGCTTGGTTCCCGCCTTCTCTTCTCTTCCAGCTATCAACACGCCTCTTACTGCTGATGACCTTGTTTCTTGTTCTACTCATCGCTGAATCTGTCCGTTTCTTTGGACAGATTCCAGGAGATGGTACTGACCCATCTCCTCTGCCCTCCCTCCGTGACAGGGGATGGACTGTCCCCACCCTATCTAGGGCCAGGCCCTCCAGCTGGACACTGGATGCGGCAGGGACCTTGCTTCTTTGACCATCTCCTCTCTTCTGCCTCAATTTGTCCTTCTCTAACTGGGTCCTTCCCATCAACTTAACAAACCTACTGTTTATAATATCTTCCTCCTTAAAAAACCTCCCATATCTTTCTAGCCACCACTCGATCTCTCCTCCCCTTTTTGTGACAGATCTCCCTGTCCCTCCTTTGTGACTTCTCTTCCTCTCTTTAACCCTTTCCAGTCTGAGGTGCCTCTCTTCACTGCTCTTGTCCACGTCACTGTCAAACTCCCTGTTGCCAAATCCAGGGCTCAAGTCTTCTGCCCACATTTTACTCAACCATGTGTAGTCACAGTTGATGTGAGGAACACCTTCCTTGGCTTCCAGGTTCCACAGTCTCCTGGTTGTGTCCCACCGATAAGTCACTGCTCTTGGCTTCATCTCTCGCTGGCTGCTTCTCTTCTCCCTGAGCCCTCAGTCCCCGAGTGCTCCAGGGTTTAGGTACAGGCCTGAGCTCTGCTCTGCTACGCCTTCTCCTTAGGAGTCCTGGTCTGTTTGGGGTCCTTGTCTCCTGAAATGCTATCTTTATGCTGACAGTTTCCAAATGCTTACATCCAGCTCCCACCTTTCCTTTTTTTTCTTTTTCTTTTTTTAAAATTTAAATTCAGTTAATTAACATATAATGTATTATTAGTTTCACAGGTAGAGTTCAGTGCTTCATCAGTCTTATATAACACCCAGTGCTCATTACATCACGTGCCTTCCTTAATGTCCATCACCCAGTTACCCCATCCCCCCACCTCTCTCCCCTCCAGCAACCGTCAGTTTGTTTCCTATGATTAAGAGCCTCAGTTGGTTAAGCGACTGCCTTCGGCTCAGGTCATGATCCCAGGATCCTGGGATCAAGCCCCGCATTGGGCTCCCTGCTCGGCGGGAAGCCTGCTTCTCCCTCTCCCACTCCCCCTGCTTGTGTTCCCTCCCTCGCTGTGTCTCTCTCTGTCAAATAAAAAAAAAAAAGAGCCTCTTGGGGTGCCTGGGTGGCTCTGTCAGTTAAGTGTCTGCCTTCAGCTTAGGTCATGGTCCCAGGGTCCTGGGATCGAGCCCCACATCAGGCTCCCTGCTCCTCGGGAAGCCTACTTCTCCCTCTACCACTCCCCCTGCTTGTGTTTCCTCTCTCGCTGTGTGTCTCTCTCTCTCTCTGTCAAATAAATAGATAAAATCTTAAAAAAAAAAAGAGCTTCTTATGGTTTGTCTCCCTCTCTGATTTCGTCTTGTTTTATTTTTCCCTCCCTTCCCTTATGCTCCTCTGTTTTGTTTCTTAAATTCCACATATGAGTGAGATCATATGATAATTGTCTTTATCTGATTGACTTATTTCACTTAGCATAATATCCTCTAGTTCCATCCACGTTGTTGCAAATGGCAAGATTTCATTTTTTTAGTGGCTGAGTAGTGTTCCATTGTATATAATATACCACATCTTCTTTATCTGCCATTCATCTGTCAGTGGACATCCGGGCTCTTTTCATAGTTTGGCTATTGTGGACATTGCTGCTATAAACATTGGGGTGCAGGTGCCCCTTCGGATCACTACATTCGTATCTTTC